AGAATGGCGAGAAAGGAAAAATAAAAAGCCTGACTTGGGTTTCTAATCGCTGCATGAGGCGCAGTGACAGTAAAGTTTAATCTAATCCTCTAATCAGAGGCTGACGTTGATCATTTATTTTCTCTTCAGCAGCTTGTAATAACGCTTCAAACAGAGTGACAGTAATGTAACGCTCTTATTTAAACTCGGGTCTAAATCTGTCCTAAGACGACACCAACTTGACAAGTTGTGAGTCAAAAACAGTTTCCTCGTTGGTCTTTTTTTGACTCTGGTTACTCGCAGGTGAGTCCAAGTGTGACCAGAGACCCGACGGTTTGTGGCTCTGCAGCTTGTACGCCAGCAGACTCTGCTGTGATTCGTCCGTCCAGCCACGTATCTGCGTCTCCACATTCCCTCATATCAAGCTGCTGTGATTCCACGAGGTGCAGCCAGCGCTCTGAAAACTCTGCTCTGCGTGGGTTTGTCTTTTATCAATCATTGACATCACAGAGTACATAGAGCTCAACTGATTTCTGCAAACTGCTGTGTCACCGCTGCAGGCTCGTTGCCCAGTAAGCGGTCGGGCCACTTTGGCTCGTATTCATTTGCTTAAGGTGTGCGTTCGTCGCACACTACAGTCGGTGTTACACAACCACACACACACACACACACACACACACACACACACACTGCAGGAAGGCCGGGTGCCGGTGTGAAGGCAGGCGCAGGATAATTAATGACTTCCACTAACAGAAAAAGAAAGAAAGGTTTAGACAGTTCACACTCTGGCTTCAGATTTCCTTCGTTGTCGTCAGATCCAGCAGAAGATCTGGAGGCCAGAGGGAGCTTTAAACACTTCATGGTCAAATCAAACCTGTTCTATCAGGAGGACGTGAAGAGGAAAGCAGAAATCACACTTGTGCAGCTCTGAGATCAGCAAAATATTAGAAGAATCACTCACATCCTAGAACAGATGAATGCTACACATGAAGCAGCTCATGTATTCAGACTGCTGACCGCTCGCTGCTCCCTGCTCTACGGATGTTTGTTCATTCACGACGTGCAGCAACAGATGGAAAGGGGAGGAGCGAGGAGAGCTGACAGATTTTCAGGTTTTCGTTGAGCTTTGAAAACATCATCACTGGGACTGTTAAAGTAAACAGAGTGCTGTAATTGCTCCACGCCCAGAAATCACTGCTGGAACACGGCTACCGCTGGATTTTTCCTTCACCTGCACATGACACGAGCAAAGTGACTCATTAGTAAAAGCTGTCAGAGCGTCGACGGTGTCTTTGTTCGTTCACAGCCTCTGAAATGCCAAAATACTAGATGTAGTTTTCCACCATTTAGAATCCGTTGGTGTTACTGAACGGTGATTGTGATCTGAAGGAGTCGTGTCACCCCGCTCACATCACTTTACATCGTATTCTTTAGTCCTAGCGTGCGTATTCGGTGTAGACAGAAGGTCGTTTTTGTGGACACAAGCTCCACAATCTGATTCATCGATCGCTGTCCAAACAGTAGAGATGTGATAAAGAACCCTAACGAGCATGCCGGCGGCCACAGGAGAGCCGTGCACCACCTCCAGAGCAGAAATAAAACACAAACGTGATCAACAATCCGTCCGTCAGAACAAACAGAGGACGGCTGCTTTGTTTTTCCACACATACACGAACACGCTGGAGAGCCGTGTGTGGCTTATACATGCTGAAAAAATAAGACGTTTGGAGCTGAGGGTTCACGTCCAGTTGGTGGTACGATCTGATGTCCACATGCCCTCCGCTGGGCGGGGCAGTTCACTGGAGGGTAGATCGGACAGTTCAGCAAAGGTTCCTCATATCACCCAAATCAGTCGACACGTTGACTCGTCAGAAAAACTTCAAGAGATTGAACTCAGTTTGGGACTCTGGGGTGGGAACAGAACCCAGAGGGGCAGCTTAGGGGGCGCTCTTCTTCCTGTCAAGTGTCAGTGACTGAGTTAGTCAGAGTGTGAATGAAAACTGACCGTTTGGGTTTCTGGCTTCGTATCAACCACAACATGTTGTTTTTTGTTTACCTTGAAAACAAGCAGGACGGTCCTGAGCGGGCAGCGAGCGGCGCTGGGTGTGCGTACGTCTGATTGGCTGTCTGCAGTGACCATCAGTGTGCCTCTCTGCTTCCTTTCCCAGCCATTCGTTTTGGCCGGATGCCCCAGGCGGAGAAGGAGAAGCTGCTGGCCGAGTTCTCCTCCGACATGGAGCACATGCACCCGGAGGCGGCCGATCTGAGGGCTCTGGCGCGGCATCTGTACGAGGCCTATCTGAAGAACTTCCCCCTCACCAAGGCCAAGGCCAGGGCCATCCTGTCTGGGAAGACCGGAGACAACGTGGTGAGCAGCTCTGCCTTAACTCCTCTTCACCATCGTCGGCTTCCTTTTTCTAAATTTAATAAATGTGAAGTTGAACGTCTAACATGTTTCAGACTGAAGCGCCGTCATTCATTCTGCTGGAGTTACGTCCAGTCGTCCTCACACGTGTTCAGA